AGCATTATATTTGTTTTTTAATTTTTTAGCATTATTTTTAACAGTAAAATGTTGTGTTGGAATTGTATAATGTGTGAAGTGTAAAAAATAATGAAATAAATAATGACATGAAATTAGTAACATTAGGTGCTCAGTGGGATGTAGTAGGTGACATTACAAGTAACTGATGCAGTGCTCAGTGGTTACATGACCACACTAACTAGTTTCCCCACCGTCTACCTACCAAGTACAGGTAATCTGCTTCTTTCAGCAACTGAATTGCATTAAACTGACTTAAGAATACCATAAAAACTGCAAGTTGATAATGTTCTTTTTCACTGGTGTTGTTAAAATCAAGAGTTAACACAGACTTGGAGGTTCAGCTCAGTGGTGGCACCAGAGCTTCTTTCTACTAGTCAGTTTATAAAAAGCCTAAGGAATTAACCTCAGTCATGTGACAGAAGTGAGGTTAAACTAAGAACCAGTGATACACCTGATACCTAACAGTGATACTACACTACACACAGGAGAGGAAAGCCAAAAGATTCCAGGCAAACAGGTATGTTTCTGATTGAGCTTGAACATACATTAGTTTTCTACATCAATCTGTAGTCTCATCGTATCACAAGTCTGATATCAGACTGCATAAATATATACATATACTGTATTGTACTGTATACACTATATACATTAAGTTAACATTGGCATTTCACTGTTGCAGCTCTGCACTAAATCAGACAAGTGGTCTTAGCTTTTGAAACAAAACCCTTTCTTTCCTTTGTTTGTGTTGGTAGTAACCCTACACTACAGCTACGGTGGTGTAGGCTAATTCAGTACGATAAACCTCAGATAATATTAGCTCATCCTTTCTCAAATAGTCTCAAGCTGTCAGCGCCCCGCACAAGATCAAGGGCTTTGCTTGCCGTCAGTGAGCTCCGAGCTCAAGACCTTTTGACTTCAATACCAGGAAGACACCAACACCTAGCGACCGGTGTGGAAGTGGAAATTAAAAAAAAAAAACACAGCAATCAATGAAATTAGATCATTATTGGTTGGATTTGCCCCAGAAGGAAAAAAATACTGACAGGTTACATTAAGAAAGGACAAACTATATTGTAACTTCCATTATTTGACTAATATTCCACCAAATTACAATACAAGATTTAATTGGGGGGGTTTTCGAGGAGAGAAGCACCTTGCCATTTAGAGACGTGCCATATTAAATATGTTAAATGTCAGTCATGTTGTAAATGGATCACAGTGCTAGTAAAGCACTTAAGCCTCCTGAGTGGATGAAAAGAGGTCATAGGCTTCATCTTTTACCAGGTCAGGGAAAGCCAAGGGTGCTACGGTGAGAGCTCACACGTCACTCTGTGGGTTTTCCTGTTTCCTCAATGGAGGATCCCAGCTGAGCCGTGTAACTGTCATTGAAGGCCCATCAAAAATTAATTAAGTCATTCAAGAAACGTGTTTGGCACCAGCCTTACTGTTGTAAAATGAAATATGTGATTAAGTGATATGGTAGCAACAAGGGTGATTGAGAGTTATTGAGAAATTGAGCAGAAGCACATACTGTACAGACATGAGAGGCATTTCAGTGACTCTTCTTTTCCACTCTTGACCCTTTCTGGTTTGGACACTTGCTTTTTAAAGCAGCCTGCTGCTCTAACCTTGGGAGGATTAGCCTGGCCTGAGGAGGGAGTAAAGGTTAAGATGGGCAGAGCATACTCATCCTATCTTCCACATGGTTTACTACATGGTCTTTACGTGGTCTGGCTCCATCCTCTTATGGCCTCTCTCAAGCTTTGCAGAAAAAGAGGCAATGGATGTAGAGTATTCCCAGCAGAGCAGGAAGGTGTGAATACAATAAACAGGGATTTTTCTGTGAGTGCTTATCAATCAATACCCACACAACTGCAGTGTCTCTCAAGGTTCCTGTTCTCTCTTAATCAGTATCAAGAGAGGTATGTGGTTATGTCACTTTAAACGAGGTTAAGGAGGAAAGGAAATAAATGTAAATACAAAAAAACAGCATGAAAAGACACAGTAGTTGGATGCAAAGAAACTACAAGCAAGAACACTAATATCCTACTGTGCAGTAGCAATACATTTTCTTCAAGCAGCAAACTCCGGGGCAGAAAAATTAAGCCAACGCTAAATGCCAAAAACTGCAGTTCCCTGAATGGCCACTTGAGGCTGGCTCCAAAAGCGAGTCAATCCCCATAAACCCTCCTGTTGAAATGCTCAGCTTCACAGCAGAAATAAACAGCCTGGTACACAAGACTGTGTTGATCACTATAGCTTTTGTCTTCAGTCATGATAACCGTTTTATTCATTTTATTAAGGCTTTAATTTGATTAGCATTTAAAGTTATGCATAAATAAGGGTGGGGCTGCTTTGAGTGACATGCTGTCTGCGAGGAGTCACCACAGTCTATATGTCAGATTCAACCCCCTCCTCCACAGCTCCAGCATCTCGTCCATATATATTATCACTTCTGGCACCGAAAATCAAAGGCAATGACCAAAATGCCAGACTCAAGGCTTCAAAACAGGGGTCCACAAACCAGTGAGTGACATCACAGAGGCTACGTCCAATATTTTTACACAGTCTATGATTTCCTACAGATCTGAAAATACAGGACACAGGCCAAAAACAGAATGTGGGACCTCCATCTTTTTGTCTTATTCATGCAAAATGAAGGGTTTCAATTGGTTGTAGAGCTCAAGGGCTGCTGCAGGTGTGTAAGCAGAATTTGAATTTAGGGTTAGCCTCTCTGCAGCTGAACAAAGGGAGAGGAAGCAGCCAGATATGGAGTTACTTCCCAGATAAAAAGGTCTCATTGGTGTGCCAGCTTCTATTAGAGAGGGAGACTGACTGACTGTTGATTGCTCATTACAGTGAAGCAGGTCAGGAGTTAAGGACGGTTCGGCCTGGTGGCTTCACGGTGACACTGGAAGACTTCGACCCTTATTCTACAAAGGACTAGAGTAGCTAGAGGGGTGTGATTTGAGCGACTCGCCTCCCTGATCTGACACTCAGTGGTGAGTGAGTAAAAGGCCAGTGATTGCCTCTGTAGCTCTGTCATCAGATCTGAGGTCATATGCTCTAGACCCTCAAGGAAATGAGCTCACCTACAGATAACCATCTGGCAGTGAGCAGGATCAGATAGCAGGTGAGGTTCCTACATAGAGCAGCAACCAAACATGTGGAGAGAGATACCTCATTAAGAGGGCATTGTCCATAATTTCAACCATCATGTCACAAAAATTTGGCAAAGATTTGTGGACTTTGACTCAGGTGGGATCTTGTTCAAAACTTCGTGTAACGTCCCTCCAGACTCAGTAGGGAGGTGCAGACATGCCAGAAAAGTCAGTGACTAAAGTAGTTGCAGATATGAAAGCTTGGGTATGGAAAGAGGAAGGTGACTTCTAGGTGGCCTTATCAAAGATTCATCCTCCTGGCAGAGCCTAGCTATTTTAAAAAAGAGTGGTGAAATGCTCCCCATAGCTGGGGATATTATTCAGAGGTGGTAGAAGTACTTTGAGGACATGAGACTTTGAGACATGCTCTCTGGACACAAGGCAGAACTGAGAGAATCATGGGAGTTGCCAACACAGACTACATACAACCACAATTAGTTTAAAGAGATACAGTAGAGGCCAGGAGCACAGGTGGCCGCCACTCACATCTGCCTAATCCCTGCTCACACTGTCTCAAGCTGACAGTTTTCTGCCTATCAACATTGAAGCTTTAGACATAAGTACAGTAAAAAGTCCCAGTTAATTATTGGATATTTCTGGGAAAACTATCTGAATCCAGTTTTGGTTATGTCTTTAATCAATGCTTTTCAAGCATTTCAAAATTTGCCCTCTAATGTAACACTCTGTTTTCAGTGTAACAGAAAATTCAAATCAAGAACAGAAAATTGTCACTTCAATGCAGCATATTTGCTAACACAAGCAAAGCAAGACACAGGCAGGCAGAGGAGAGGACACTGATGATGTCAATATGAGCTGAGCACAGGATGAACCATGAACACTAGCAGCTTGTGCCCCCTAGGGGACAGTTTGTTTCTGTTTGCACAGACATTATGTATCTTTTGTCTGAATCCAGATCATGAGGTAATTGTAACAGACCTGACAGTATTCAAGGTGATAGATATCACATTTCTGCATTTTAATTTTTTTTGGCATATTTTCTTTTTTTTCTGCTTTGGAGACACCTTTTTGTGCCAGATCAGAACATTGTGTTTATCTGAACTTCATATTGTTTCAGTTTAAACAATTAAAAACCGAAGAGTAGCTTTTTCTGTGTTAAAGTGCTACTCCTCTACTAAAAGATGAATGAGCTTGGGTACCTGGTAAGGATGACAGAAACGTCCCTTCTGCAGTGTTGTGGGCACTGGTTGACAGGAGGGAGCAACATCTCCTGACTTGACTCATAACATGTCGCAATTTCTCAGGAGCTGGAGCAGCTCCTCCTTGTTAAGAATACAAAACTGACCTGGTTCAAAAATGAAAATATGTATAAGTAAAAGGGTCAAAGTTAATAATAACAAAACAAAGCATGCATTATCTCATAAACACTTCACCATTACTTACCATGTTTGTGTCCCTTAAGTACAGCTGTGTCTCATTGTTAAGTGGCCAGTAGTTACTGACTCAGAATTAGTTCATGAATGGTGCCACGGACAGCACGACTGCATATTGTTTATTAAATGTATATTAAATCTGCAACTTACAATATTTTAAAATATGTCTGAATGATTAATCTGATCTACAATGTCCTGTTTGTATTTTTGTTGTTGTTATTAAGGTGTGCTTAGTCAGAAATGTCATGGCACAATCAACATACAAATGAAAACATCCCCAAATATCCTAAGATATTTTAGGATTATCAACAAAGGTTAAAAAAAAAAACAATAATAGATTTGACACTCTTCAAACTCCTTGCAGGCTGAGGAGTGTGTATAAATGGCATATCGATACAACATTAAGCCTGACACACAGGCACAAGAGTTAATTCAGTGTCTTGTCTGGCTCTGCACAGAAGTCTCCTCTACTACTGCCCACTGCATCGTCCTGCACCGGTGATGCCACAGCACACTTCTTCCTGTCCTCGATCACTTGGCAAGGTACAAGCACGCTGGAATCAGTGCCAGCCTGTGGTTCAGGGTTAGGGTCAGGGTCAACATCACAGGAAGAGCTAGTGTCAAAGCCAGCAACAGGATCAGTGCCAAGGCTTAGATGGGGGATAATGCCATGGTGAGATTCCTCCTCAGAACCAGATGTCTGGTCTGTCTCTGAGCTTTCATCAGGAGATACTTCAATCTTTGCACATGGCTCAGAGACCTGTCTTTCTTGTTGCTCCTTGGTCTTCAGCCTCCTGCGGCTGATCAGCTTCTGCAGCTGCAGCTTGCTGGTGAAGAACATGCTGCGCCAGCCCACCTCAAGCGCCAGAGATGCTTCCTCTGCTGATACTGTGCAGCAGCGCTGCCGCACTGCCTGCTCCCAAAACTCCTGTGAGCCACACAGCTGAGGAGCAGAAGTGGTAAGTATAATGAATTCAACAATAAGGGCTGATTTTGTTGCACTGATATAATGTCCAATCAATTAAAACAATGTATGAATAGAATATTACTTTAGATTTAATCACTGATTATTTATAATGATGTGTTCACATAAGAGCAGATAAAATGTACAATGGTGAAATCTTTCAATAATAGAGTTAATGTTTCTTATCGCTGGATACAGTTTATCTTTCGCAGCATCTCTCTTTGTGTGTCTCTGGAACTCACCTGCCTGAACCTGCGTGACGTTCGTCCAAGCTGTCCCACATCCTCTAGTTCCAGATAATTTATTATCCGCAGAAGTATTGAGTCAGACAGGCGCTCTAGATAGTCATAATGGCCTTGGCACAAAGCCTTGGTGTACTGCAAGATTCCACGACCAAAAACCATACTGATCTCACCTGGGAAGAAGCCCATTATTGTACCTGTCATCCATATTGAAACAATCAATTTGCTCTCACATACAATATTCACAAGACTCTATATGAAAATAAAGTGATAAACATTGCATTGCTCACTGGCATGTGAGCAAGCATGTAGAAGCATGATGACCAGCAGCATGCAATATGTGCTCACAGTCCTAAATATGAAGTCCTTACTCTGCAGCCAAGCATCATCCAACAAGTCCTGGTGAGACTCCTTCACCTCCCCAGGCCTGGAGTTCCTGTCTACAGCTCTCGGAGATATCTTCCACCATCTCCATATCACCTGGTAATGGCCATTCAAAGGATCACTGGTGTTAGATATTTTACCAGCAAGCTAAGGAAACTCATAGCTTTCTTTTTTGGTGCATTTTTGTTAAACTCTCAACACCAGAGCAGTTATTTATATTTTAACAAAGAAAAGATTAAGCATGAAAATTTTGATCGTTGATCGATGTATTAAAATCCATGTTACTGAGCATTTCTTTTCCAAGATAATGCATTTACCCTACAGATGTGGCATATCAAGAAGCTGATTAAACAGCATGATTACTACATGGCTGGGCCTTGTGATGGTAACAATGAAAGGCCACTCTAAAACTTGCAATCTGTGGCTGTCCAGCTCAGTTGCATTGGTGTGTGAGTATCTCCTCTGCCATCCTTTCTTGTCTATTGTACCGACATACCCAAGACAAACCTTTTTGTTGCCCCAAGTAGGCGCAGTTTCACAGTAGCCCTAAGAGATTCATTTGGCAGTTCATCCAAACTGCGTCACAACTGCAGACCATGTTGAACCACACCAGCTCAGGACCTCCACATCAAACATCTTCACCTGCAAGATCACCCGAGACCAGCTATCTAAACAGCTGATGCAACAATTTGTTTACACAGCCAAAGAATATCTGCACAAACTGTCAGAAACCTTCTCAGGGAAGCTCATCTGCATGCTCATCTTCCTCACCTAGCTGCAGTTCATTTTTGTAACCAACTTGTGTGGTTGTGAGGACAATTGGATGCACTTCCAAATTCAGGGAAACAACATTGGAGATGTCTTATGGTAGTAAAATGAACCTTCAATTTACAAACAACAACTCTGGTGGACATTCCTGCAGGCTGCATGCCAATGGCACGCTCCCAGTGATCTGGCACAGGAGTATACAATTGAGCTTCTCAAACCATAGTGTCCAATAAGGCCCCTGAGGTCTGCTAGTCTGGGTCTTCTAACTGTTCCAGAGTCCAGGGTAAAGAAAAAGGGTGATCGAGCCTTTTCAGTTCATGCTCTTCCTTTGGAGCAGCCTCCCACTGAACATCAGATCTCTTCAAGTCTCATCTGAAAACTTCCTTTTACAGATTGGCCTCTCCTGAGAGTTGATATGACTTACTGTGTGTATGGGAGTGTATGTATGTATGCAACCATGTGTATATGAATGCATGCTTACATGTATGTAAGTGTTGAAGTTAGTGTAGGCATATGTATATGCTTATGTTTTATTGTCACTTTTGTATTTTCTTCACCTTTAAGTGCTCTACAAATTAGGTTATAATTGTGCTGTGTGATCAAACTGCACATTTTAGAGTGGCCTTTCATTGTGACCATCTCAAGGAGCACCTGTGTGGTAATGATGCTGTTTAATCAGCATCTTGATATGCGACACCTGTCAGGTGGGTGGATTATCTTGGGAAAGTGCTCACTAACACGGATTTTGGAAATCAACCAAGCTTCATGTACATCGTCTTTATTTTAAAGAACTGTTAGCTGAATTCATTTCTGTTGTTAGGGTGGCCAGAGCCTCTTATTTTAAAAATCTCATCATCTCCAACAAGAGAAATCCCAGGGTCATTTTTGACACTATAAGTAGCATTACTGGTGTGCAACAGCCTGCTCTACCTGTGTCCTCTGATGAGGACTGTAGCAATTTTTTAATGTTTTTTGTGAATAAGGTTGCCAGTGTCAAGGCCAGTATAACACCCTCCTCCTCCTCCCTTCCTGATCCTCCCAAACAACAGTCAATTACTGACAATTTCTCACCTGTCTCCTTACAAGACTTAGCAGATCTTGTGTGCACTATGAAGATCTCTTCTAGTCCGCTGGATATCCTGCCCACAACTTTGCTGAAAAATGTTTTCAGCACTATTGGTCCATCTCTGCTCTCCATAATCAATAGCTCACTGGTTTCTGGTCGTGTCCCGTCCCATTTCAAGCAAGCGGTTGTTCAGCCGCTTCTCAAAAAGCCCAATCTGGACCCCGATGTTCTTAGTAACTACCGGCCCATTTCCAAGTTGCCCTTTGTATCTAAGATTCTAGAAAAAGCAGTTGCAAACCAGTTAGTGACAGCGTTGAACAGTTACAATATCTTAGATAAATTTCAGTCCGGTTATCGTCAGTTACATTCCACAGAAACTGCTCTTCTCAGGGTCTCCAATGACATCATGATGGCCTCCAATGCCGGTAAATCCACTATCCTGGTTCTGCTTGATCTCAGTGCAGCCTTTGACACTGTTGATCACCACATCCTTTAAGACAGGCTGAGGGACAGGGTAGGCATCTCAGGGACCACCCTTCATTGGTTTAAATCCTATCTGTCTGATCGATCCTTTTCTATGGCCGTTGGCCCTCATAAATCAGAGTTTGCCCCCCTTTCTTGTGGGGTGACCCAAGGTTCAGTGCTTGGGCCTATCCTCTTTACGCTATACATGCTCCCTCTCAGAGATGTCATCAGCAATTTTGAAGGTATCTCATACCATATGTATGCAGATGACCTCCAGTTATATTTTTCTTTTAACCCTGATAGGACCGATGGAATTGACTCACTTTACGATTGTATGAATATAATTAAGGACTGGATGGCTACTAACTCCCTTCAGTTGAATGCAGCTAAAACTGAGATTTTAATTATTGCACCTGACGCCTCAGCATCTAAAGTGGCCAGCTGCTTAGGGTCCCTCAGTACAAATGTGCGCCCCAAGTTGAGAAACCTTGGGGTCACATTTGATCAGGCCATGCTCTTCGATGACCACATCAAGATTGTCACTCGCTTCTGCTTTTTCCACCTCAAAAACATTTCCAAACTCAGATCCATGTTAACTTATTCCGAGCTAGAAATGATCATCCATGCATTTATTTCCTCACGTCTAGATTACTGTAATTGTCTTTTCACCTGTCTCAATAAAACTTCATTAGACCACCTCCAACTAGTCCAGAACGCTGCCACCAGGCTTCTGTCCAGATCTCATAAGTTCACTCACATCCCTCCAGTCCTGGCATCCTTGCACTGGCTCCCTGTTAATTTCAGGATCCAGCACAAGATTCTAACCATCACTTACAGAGCCCTCCATGGTCAAGCACCTGCATACTTGACGGATCTGGTGTCCTTTCACTGTCCTGTCAGGTCACTGCGGTCCGCTGAAGGCCACCTACTTACTGTCCCTCACACAAGATTAAAGACGAAAGGTGATAGAGCCTTTAAGACTGATGCACCGAAATGGTGGAATGCACTACCTCATGAGCTGAGAGCGGCCTCTTCCGTGGACATTTTCAAAAAGCAGTTAAAAACACATATGTTTAGGCATGCGTTCCATTAATTGCCCATTGTATCATCTCTGTATTTCGCTGCACTTTACTTTTTATTTGTTTTTGTGTATTTTGGATTGTTTCTGTTATTGTATTTTTTGTATTTTATCTTGTGAAGCACTTTGTGAGTCCTCTCTGTGAGAAGTGCTATATAAATTAAATTTACTTAACTTACTTAAGTGTTATTTGTTCAGTTACTTTTAATAACGTTAGTTTATTTGGTGTACTTGTACTTATTCTGTTCACACTGCTGTTGAACTTATCCTCGAAAGTTCATAGCAATAACAAAACATATCTAAGTTAACCAGCTAGCAGCAAACACAAGTTGTATTAAAATGTCCGTTTGCTAGCTTTAACTACAGCGGTTTAGCTAGTTAACGTTACCGTTAATTAACGTTAACGTTAGGTAATTTAAGCTAGCACCGCCCGTAGACATTATGACAACTCACCCTCAACCTGCTTGTTAGACAGCAAAAGCTTGTAGCGTTAGTTTTTTAACCCAAAGTAATCACAGATCGAAAATATTACAAAAATACTTACAGCTGACTTGGTGATAACAAAATGATAATAATTCCTGTTGGGTGGAGGAGCGTTTCCAGATATCTCAAACAACGGGTCTGTTAAAAGGGACGCCATGTCAAAGTTTCTGTGTTGTCATGGCAACGGAGGTTTTTCAAGCGGAGAAGACGGTTTGAGGTTCACGTAGCTACAGGGGAAGAAAATTTAATATTTAACTCATTTTAACCACATGGAAATTACATAAATAAAACTGTATGCAATATAATGGTGAACAGGGCATGAAATTATAAGAGCTATATATACTAGCAGGGTCGTAATCGTCTATTAACCTTCATCCTGAATGACTTTTTCACCTCTCACCTTCTGGATTTTCTGTTGTTGACAGAAAGATGGAGTAAACCAGGTGACAACAGTGCCTTCTCTGAGCTCCTCCCTCCCAAATGTTGGTTCTTTAGTTCCCCACCAGCATCTGGTAGAGGAGGGGGCCTTGCCTCTGTGTTCAAGGACAATTTTAGCTGCCGACTCCTTCCCACACATAACTACACCTCCTTTGAGCTACAGTTATTTGTGATGGAGCTTACATGTTCTGTCTTATGTGCCGTTGTGTTCCGCCCACCTAAATATAATAAGAACTTTATTCAAGAGTTCTCAGAATTTTTATCAGAGTCTGCTTCTGTTCATGATCAACTCTTGATCTGTGGAGATTTTAACATTCATGTTTGTTGTCCCTCTGACCAATTTGCTACGGATTTTAAAAACCTCTTAGAGTGTTTTGATTTAATTCAATCAGTCGATCAACCAACTCACCATCTTGGACATATCCTGGATCTGGTTATCTCCCGTGGGCTCTCAATCTCCATTAGAGAAATGTCTGACACTGCGATCTCAGATCACCTGCCCATTATCTTCGAGTTCACAGCCCCTCCTGTAGCCTGTAAACCTCTTGCCCAGTCTTGTCAACGCCGCATTCTCACCTCCTCAACAGCTGGGGAATTTGCCACTGCCTTCATGGGATCACAGCTTCTCAAATCCAGTGATCTGATGCATCTTCTGTCCCCAGACATCATCCTCTCCTCCTTTTACTCCACCTGCTCTAGGATACTGGACTCGATCGCCCCATTACGACATAAATCAGCGAAACTGAGAGCAGACCCTTGGATAAATAACTCTATTCGTGCCTTCAGACAATGCTGCCGGCAGGCTGAACGTCGCTGGAAAAAAGACAAATTACATGTATCCTGGGGCATACTGAGAGATAGCCTCACTGACTATCAAAGGGCTGTGAAAGAGGCTAAATGTCATTATCTGTCCAATGTCATTTCCAGGAACAGTCATCAGCCCAGAGTTTTGTTCAGTACAATCAACAAAGTTGTTAACCCATGCAGCTCTGTCTTGGCTGATGCCTCAATCAGCACTTGTGAGAGTTTTCTTCGCTTTTTTGTTGACAGTTACTACTGTCAGACAACTTGCCAGTACCATTTCAAATGTCGATCTGTCCATTGCTCCGCCACACTCTGCTGTGTTTGAAAAGTTTGAACCAGTCTCCATCTCAACCCTCACAAAAGTGGTGCTACATATGAATCCCACAAACTGCCCCTTGGACATTATTCCTACTAAACTGTTGGTAGAGGTGTTTAATATTGTTGGTCCCTCCTTACTGACTTTTATTAACTCTTCTCTTAGCTCTGGCTCTGTCCTGGCCGCCCTGAAACATGCTGTGGTTTGGCCTCTCCTTAAAAAACCTCAACTCGATCCCTCAATTCTATCAAACTTTAGACCTGTCTCCCATCTGTCCTTTTTGTCCAAAGTTCTAGAAAAAGTTGTTTTCACACAACTACAAGCATTGTTAGAGAACAACAATATTTTTGATAAATTCCAGTCTGGCTTCAGATCTCGTCATAGCACCGAGTCTGCTTTGCTGAAGGTACACAGTGACGTTGCTCTGTCTGTTAATGCCAAATGCCCTATGATCCTAGTACTGCTAGACCTCACAGCAGCCTTCGATACTGTGGACCACGCGATCCTGCTATCTTGCCTTAATGAATATGTTGGCATCAGTGGCACTGCACTTAAGTGGCTTACTTCCTACTTAACTGATCGAAGCTTTTCAGTAATGATTGGTGACCTGTCCTCCTCGAGCACCTCTCTCTCCTGCAGGGTACCACAAGGGTCGATCCTCGGTCCTACTCTTTTCTCTCTTTACATGCTGCCACTTGGTTCAATTATAGCGAAGCACGATCTGTCGTTCCACTGCTACGCGGAAGACCTCCAAATTTATTTACCGTTGGGCCTAACGGGAAGCGGGGCACATAGGAGTTTGACTAATGCTATTGCTGACATTAAGCAGTGGTTGTCATCCAACTTCCTACATCTTAATGAAGACAAGACAGAGTGTATTGTGTTTGGGAAAACAGAAATGTCTAATTTCACAGCAATGAAACTCAGTCCAACGGTCAGAAATCTCTGGGTTATGTTTGACAGTAACTTCAAGTTCGACAAACAAATTGACACTGTGGTTAAAGCTTTTTTCAATTGCACCTTCTGGCCAAGGTGAAGCCATTCCTAAATCGTGCTGACCTTGAAAAAGCTATTCATGCCCTCATTAGCTCAAGGCTAGATTATTGTAATGCACTTTATGTTGGCACTTCCCAGTCATCCATCAGTCGTTTGCAATTCGTGCANAGGAACAGTCATCAGCCCAGAGTTTTGTTCAGTACAATCAACAAAGTTGTTAACCCATGCAGCTCTGTCTTGGCTGATGCCTCAATCAGCACTTGTGAGAGTTTTCTTCGCTTTTTTGTTGACAGTTACTACTGTCAGACAACTTGCCAGTACCATTTCAAATGTCGATCTGTCCATTGCTCCGCCACACTCTGCTGTGTTTGAAAAGTTTGAACCAGTCTCCATCTCAACCCTCACAAAAGTGGTGCTACATATGAATCCCACAAACTGCCCTTTGGACATTATTCCTACTAAACTGTTGGTAGAGGTGTTTAATATTGTTGGTCCCTCCTTACTGACTTTTATTAACTCTTCTCTTAGCTCTGGCTCTGTCCTGGCTGCCCTGAAACATGCTGTGGTTTGGCCTCTCCTTAAAAAACCTCAACTCGATCCCTCATTTCTATCAAATTTTAGACCTGTCTCCCATCTGTCCTTTTTGTCCAAAGTTCTAGAAAAAGTTGTTTTCACACAACTACAAGCATTTTTAGAGAACAACAATATTTTTGATAAATTCCAGTCTGGCTTCAGATCTCGTCATAGCACCGAGTCTGCTTTGCTGAAGGTACACATTGACGTTGCTCTGTCTGTTTATGCCAAATGCCCTATGATCCTAGTACTGCTAGACCTCACAGCTGCCTTCGATACTGTGGACCACGCGATCCTGCTATCTTGCCTTAATGAATATGTTGGCATCAGTGGCACTGCACTTAAGTGGCTTACTTCCTACTTAACTGATCGAAGCTTTTCAGTAATGATTGGTGACCTGTCCTCCTCGAGCACCTCTCTCTCCTGCAGGGTACCACAAGGGTCGATCCTCGGTCCTACTCTTTTCTCTCTTTACATGCTGCCACTTGGTTCAATTATAGCGAAGCACGATCTGTCGTTCCACTGCTACGCGGAAGACCTCCAAATTTATTTACCGTTGGGCCTAACGGGAAGCGGGGCACATAGGAGTTTGACTAATGCTATTGCTGACATTAAGCAGTGGTTGTCATCCAACTTCCTACATCTTAATGAAGACAAGACAGAGTGTATTGTGTTTGGGAAAACAGAAATGTCTAATTTCACAGCAATGAAACTCAGTCCAACGGTCAGAAATCTCTGGGTTATGTTTGACAGTAACTTCAAGTTCGACAAACAAATTGACACTGTGGTTAAAGCTTTTTTCAATTGCACCTTCTGGCCAAGGTGAAGCCATTCCTAAATCGTGCTGACCTTGAAAAAGCTATTCATGCCCTCATTAGCTCAAGGCTAGATTATTGTAATGCACTTTATGTTGGCACTTCCCAGTCATCCATCAGTCGTTTGCAATTCGTGCAAAATGCAGCAGCCCGTCTTTTAACGAACACTCCTAGACGCGTGCACATCACTCCTGTCCTTTACTCTCTTCATTGGCTTCCTGTCCATTTTAGAATCGATTTTAAGATTTTAACATTCGTTTTTAAAGCTCTTAACGGACTTGCTCCACCCTATTTATCCGACCTTCTCACGCCACAAGTCAGAAACAGAACCCTAAGGTCGTCAAACCAGGGTCTGTTGGAGGTCCCAAGGTCCAATTACAAACATTGGGGTGACAGGGCTTTCTCGGTGGCCGCACCCAGACTGTGGAACAAGCTCCCCCCCCGACATGCGCACCATCACTGACCTAGGTCTTTTTAAATCAAAACTTAAAACCTTTCTTTTTAAGACGGCTTTTAACACTTAAGATTGTTATGACATGTTTATTTTGTGTTTTTTTATTGTTGTCCTTTACTGTTGTTCCTTTGCTGTTTTATTTTATTTTATTGTAAAGCACTTTGGTCACCCTCTGGGCTGTTTTAAAGGGCTATACAAATAAACTTTATTATTATTATTGTTATTATTATTATTACTATTTAATATTGGGAGGACCATTTTTAATGTGGACCTCCTGGGGGGAATTCTTCCTAGGATTTTTTCCCCAGAAACTTAACCACTAAACTGACTTTTTGAAAGCATTTTGAAACAAAAATCTGAGATGATAAAACGATAAACGATTTACAACCCCTGATCCAAAAAAGTTGGGATGCTGAATAAAACTTATAATTATCTTGCAAAACCTTTTTGACCTATATTCAATTGAATACATAGAAAGACAAGATATTTCATGATAAAACTCATTCATTCATTTATTTTCTGTAACCACTTATCCTGTTGGGGGGGGGGGGGGGGGGACCATTGACGTTCACATTCATATTCACATCTATGGTCAATTTTAGTCTGACTGCAGGCATACCAGTCTGATACCCACACTCTTAAACAATGAAGCCACATTTGTGGATGCCATCTAGATGGGAGCATGTTTCTCCAGAACCTGTACGTACCTTTCAGCATTCATGGTGCCTTTACAGATGTTCAAGTTAGCCATGATACAATGGGCTCTAACACTCCCCCATACCATCACATATGCTGGCTTTTTAACTTTGAGCTGTTAACAATCTAGATGGCCTTTTTCCTCTTTAGTCCGGACACAACATCCATTATTTCGAAAAACAAAATGAAATGTGGACTCGTCAGCCCACAGCACTAGCGTACTCAAGTCACCTCTCTGTCGGGATAATCAAAAGATATATATACACACATCCTAACTGTAGTTAAAAATCTTTTAATTTATTTATACATATATTTATATATGTACACAGTTACTTACCTATTCTTGTAAAGACAAGAAACACATTGTCAAATTCATTGTTAGTCATTGGTGGCACAATTGAGACACTAGTTCTCCAGAGTCCCAGGCTGAACCGGTAATGTAATAATCCCTAAATTAATCTGTTCTGTCCCTCGCCTTACTCTAAAGCAAACTGAAGGGAGACCAATTATTTCTCCTCACCCTGCTCTTCACTCCATAAGCTTTTAAATCAGAAGGCAAAGAGGAAGACAGATCTTAAGGGAGTGTAGTGAATATAACATAACTAACATTTCATAAATATTTTGCTTTAAAATGTACTTTTTTTTTGTCTAGGCAGGGTGTGGTAAACCTGTCATTCCCTGTCAAGAGGACAAGTCACCCGCAACCATGTGAATAACTTCACTTGTTTTGAGGCAACCCAATTTGGGTCACACCCACAACCCTGAAGCATTCTTAACAGTCTTTCCTTTTGTCTTTACCATATTCATAAAATACAGTGAATATCTGAAAGCAGGAGAGGCTACTTAGAGTATATTAAACCATTTTACCAATATGTATAGATTAGGTAGGGCGACAAGACATAGAAATACACATCTTAAAGCCTGCACTTCTGGTCTCTTTCCTACATTTGTGCTCTAGTAGACATGTCTGTCCCTTCACCTGGTGAGCTGAAACATCTGCTGGCCTCATATTCAAGGAGCTGCCCTTCGTTTCAACCCAAATTTAGCTCCTACCCTTTCTTTACACCATTTCACAGATATTGGCAATATTAATAAAAGGTGGTCCAGGACCAACGTTGTATCCAATCCACCTGCTTGGGATGTCACTCTGATTTAAAAAGACGTGGGTTTGGTTGCTTGGGGTTATAGGCAAATTGTAAGTTAATAAATGACATTTTGCACCTTGGTGCCAGTATAGTTGCAATTATGCTAACGTAACAAAAAGAAATCCCTTTTGAGAATGAAATACCTGCATCATCATGGTTGCTTCAAACCACAGGAATGGATTTGGATGGAACCCTGTTTATATTCTTAAAGTCTATACCCTTACCTATGTAGATAGTTTGTAGTGGGGGGTTTTCCCACAAGGTATGTGGATACTCACCTTTGTTAACTCAGTCCTTGTTATACATAACATGTACTTAATTGTGATTACAAATGATGATATGCACAGAGCTTACAGTCATAAACAAAAAATAAAAAGCATATAATGTATATAGTCCAAACAGTACATTTCCCCCTATAACAGTCCCTTAGTCTTCAATGTAGTCCTTTGTACTCCTCCATAGTGTTGTAAACTTCTTTTATGAAAAACAAAACAAAAAGTCTTTTTAAAAAAAATGTACTGCCACTAATTGCATGACGGAACGGGTGCGTTGAATATGTGCTGCATGCTGCCCTCTGCTGGCAAGGAGTGGAAGTTGTGCTACAGGAAAGGGTTGGTTGAACCGCCTGAAGGGAATGACCCGGCCGGAGCTCCCGCCTGAAATAAGAGAGAGTCAGAATTAGGGCACCAACAGCTAACAGTCTGAGATAATAATCCCTTTAAATCAAATGTTATTAAATACAATGTTTTCAATGAAATCAATCGGTACAATTGTTTTCTTGAATGGAAAGTTTACCCCTAATTAAAAAATACATATTTTTACTCTTACCTGTAGAGCTTTTTGTCACACTAGATTGTTTGGTGTGAGTTGCAGAGTGATGGGGATATCAGCTGTAGAGATGTCAACCTTCTCTCTTATATAATGAAACTAGATGGCACTCAGCTTGTGGTTCTAAAAGTGCCAAAAGATCACATTTGGAAATCTAAACAGCAATGTCTCTTACCAGAAATCATGACCTGGTTACTCAAGATAATCCACAGACCTTGTTGTCAGCGGTTTCATGTAGGAACTATCTTCTTCCTACCGAACTACACCTGCCAACCATATCGCCGCAGAGAAGGAAGTGTGCATCTACTCAGGGACAAAAGGGTCCTGCTTATTGACAGCCCGAGATGTAAACATTTATGGTGTCCTCCTCAGTTGAGCTGTAATGTTAGCTAGCTCAGTGGTGCTAGGTGAGCTAGCAGAAGATACATGCTTCCTTCTGCGTAGTGATACACTTGGCAGGCTTAGTTCAGTAGAACGAAAATAGTTCCTAAATGAAGCTGCTCACAACAAGGTCTGTGGTTTATCTTGAGTAACCAGGTCATGATTTCTGCAAAAAGACATTGCTGTTGAGTTTTTCAAATTTATTTTTTGCACTTTGAGCATCAAGCTGAGTGCCATCTAGTTCCATTATATTTAATAGACGGCAGACATCTCTACGGCCCTTATTTAGATTGATAAATAACACTACAGATAAGAGGAAAACCACGTATTTTTGATTTTGGGTGAACTGTCCCTTTAAACCTAGAAAGCCCCCATACTTCATCCTTTATTTCCTCCACAAAGTTGGGAAAAACAAAAGACAATGCATGCTCACCATGAATGGGTTATTGGACATGCCAGGGCCAGCCATGGGCTGCCCAAAGGGCGTCATGGAGGGCTTGTTCTGACCGTAGACTGGGAAAGCAGGGCCTAGGGGTGATACAGGGAAAGGGATTTACAACAGGTCGAGTCTGCTCTCTCCAGCAGTTAGGCAATGTGTAATAATAATATTTCATTGCAACTGTTATATCAACAAGCCATAAAGAGCAGGCTATAAAGAGTCAAAGATAAACAGTTGTTTTCCACTGAACTACATTATGAGTTAATTTTTAAAAGCTCTAGGGATCTGAGACTGTAAAGAGGAGGAAAAAAATCAACAAGATAGCCAAGCCCAGCGTGTCAGATTGCATTCAGGCGTGAACAGAGCCTTATGAGTGATGTCAGATTTGTTAATTGTGTTTGTGGTCCAGAGCTGTGCACGGAGCAGAACCCTAAAGCTTTGTAACCTAAATGCAACCTTAAATCAATGTACAGTAGCTGCCATGGACAAGTCACACTTAATTTGCTGCAGCAAAACTTATACACAATTCCAAATGCAGATGGCCATCATGTAGATAAAGATAACAAAATCATGCTGAGTGTGACCTAAATCACTGACAGGTACTGCACAGGTGGACCAGGGTGAGAGGACAGAGGGATGTGGGAAGCCACTAACCATTAGACTGAGGGTGGTAGGCCCCAGGTTGAGAGTAAGGGATGGGAGCCTGGCCAGGGAATTGCTGCTGGAAGTTTCCGCTGAAACTGGTCGGGAGGCAGTAGGAAGACGCATTCCCAAAGCCGGCGGGCATGCTCATAGAGCCAGTGCCAAAAGATGCTACGAGACACACACAGCATGTGTGTACACGAATGTACACGCACACCCACAACACACACAAGGAGGAGTAAATTCTATATACTTTTGCAAATCACAGAGCTACTTGGCAATGTAACTGGGTTACATCAAAGTAACACAAATTTCTAAGACGAAAATGTGTCTCATTAAATACACTAAACTTTAAATACACACACACACACACACACACCTGCAGCTGGAGCTCTACCATTGGTCTGGAAAGGGTTGGTGGCCATCTCCGGGGCAACGGCTGCAGCAACGAAGGGATTTGTAGATGGGACGGCTGGAAGACATTCAGGAGGCAGTTGCAAAATCAGTCTTCAAGCTATGTTTGAAAATGTACAGCTCTGAAAATGGATTTTCATTCTGTATGCGTCACTGTAGTAGTAATCACTGTTAGCACCTCCAAAGCCAGGCTGCATGCTGGGTAACACAGGCTGATTCTGGGCTGGTGATGAACCAAGCACAGGTCCAAATAAGTTCCTGTAAAGGAAATGTTCAGATTAAATATTTTTACATGTGTTTAACACATTCAGTACACATGACAGGCTTTAATTAACCTTTCAAGCTGATTCACTGACACTGTGAACATTTTGTTGGCTATTTCTTAAAGCAGTTTAGCTGTGAGATGAATTCTTAACATTCCCTCTGGGATTTGGCAGGCTTGTTCTGGGATTGCTGCAGTCTAAAATACCTGATTTCACAGCACAGCATGTTTTTTTTTTTAAATATTGCAATGCTTGTCGCAATGTTTTTAGGCGTTTGCAATGAAACCTCTCTCAGCATGTGCAACAGATGTGGATGCAATAGCTTCTGTCATTCTTATTTATCTTGTCTGTTGACCACACATTTCAGCCATTGTCTGGCTGTGTGTTGCAGCAGAAGAGTGTTTGTCAGTTGATGTTGTTTGAGTTCCACCACAATGTGCCACATGGTGTAAAACAGTTTATCCTCCCTTTCATGCAGAAGACCAGTAAACTGCCTTACACGGTCTTCAGCAGTAATTTCTGTTGGTAACTGAGATGTTCATGTTGCACATGCCTATGTCTTCACAACCAGAAACAAGGAAGAAAGTTTGGTTTGTACAGGAGATTATGAAAAGTTGCAGAGAAAATTGCAAGGTCACGCAGAATTCACAGGGACTGGTTGTATTTGCATCAGTTGTTGCCATCACCACATCGCATCATCCTGGAGGGGCTGTCTTATAGACTTTTCTGAGTGGAAAATGTTGACTAGAATTTAGTTGGGATTTAAATTCAAGATTCAAGATTCAAGAGACTTTATCGTCAGTTCTACAGTTATGTAACAGACATACAGAGAATCAAAACAGCGTTTTACTCTGAACTGACTCACGGCTCAGACAGTGCAAAAGGATAAGTCTAAATAAGGAAGTCAAAGAGAATAGAAGACATGATACAAAAATAAAAATAAATAAAAGCAATCAAGTAGTGCAAAGATGTAAAGATGTAAATGCAATCAATCTATGCATTCTCCTAGTGTTTAAGTCATCATCAATTACTCAACCACACTAACTTAATCAAATTCATGTAGTATCTGTCCAGGCTATCCAGGTGTACAGAGGCACTCTTCATAGACAGTTAACTGTTTGTGGTGAATATTTATTAGCAGTGTGTGTGTGTCTCTCACCCTGGCACATTACTGGCCGTGGTGGCAGAGGAGCTGAGCTCGTTGTCCAACTCAGCCAGAGCAGCATAGCGATCCTCTCTGCTGCTCCCTGGCTGGGACTGGGCGGGGACGGCACTAGACATTGACGGAATTGGCACACCTCCCCCTTTTGACAAATTTTGGGGAAGAAAAAGATACTCAAAGACCAAGTGCCACATTCATACACACAGATACTCAAAAATAATAGACAAAGAATTAACTAAATGATTGAAGGAAAAGCGTGCTGTATTGTAACAGGTTTAGGGCTAAATGTCCACTGGGTGTCTCCCTTCAAAGCACTTCTGTAATAATGTATTGGTGTGTTTCAAACATGGCTTACAACTTAGCATGTCTTAAATTGAAAAATCTTTAAATCTTATCCAAGAGAAAAAGGGCTTGCCCAGTGGACACACTGGGTAAGAAATGAACGAGTGAAATACTGAGATGAGGGTGAGTGTGTGGATAGGGTGGAGGAATGAAAATGGTGAGTGGGGTACCTGATGAAAAGGACTGTGAGGGGGGTGACGTGCTCAGATGGGATGGAATTGCAGTGTTTCCAAATGCCTCAAAGTTGGCAAAGTTGGTATCTGAATTACCCTGAGGTGCTGCAGCCATACACAAGGAAAAAATGAATACAAATATGAATGAATGTGGAAATAAAAACAATGGCAGGGCAAAGCATGGGGTGATGACAAACCAAATCTGTGCTGAGTGTCTGAGTGAAATGTTTGACCTTCTGGTTCCTTTGAGAGAAAGCTTTCTTACCCGACTGGCTGGGAAAATGTGCAAAGTTGGCAAAGTTGGTGGAGCTGGAAGTTTGAGTGGGTGGAGCAGCAAAAATGTCTCCTCCCAGGTCAGAGAGCAAGTCAAACTTCTTCTCCTGAGCAACGCTGTGAGCCTGGGAACGACTAAGCGCTGGAGACTAGACAGTAACCAAAAAAGGACAAGTTAAAACTTTTTTCCAGCCGAATTCCAAATGATGTGCACTCACAGGCTCAGTGTCTATTTCTGTTACCTGGCGGAGTGGGGTCTTGTTGAGCTGCAGTGTCTTGAGGGGTTGGACTTCTGGGGTACTACCAGTGCTGCTGGCCGAGGAGCCAGAAACAGAGGCCTGGACACTTGCTACTGCCCTTGCCTGATCTGGAGGAACATACCTAAATAATGTAGAGATATTTTTTTTAAAAAAAAAAAGAGGAAAAAACAGAAGCAGTTTTTTGTAACTGTGACCCACCTAAGCACCATATGAATACAAATGGAAACTTGCTTCATAAAGCACAGTTGCACCCTTTCCAATGACAATGAACCAAGAGAGTAAAGTGACACATAGACAAAGAAAGTCCAAGACAATGACTGGCATGCTATCAACCTAAAACACATGGTTAACCAAATCCATAACTGCCAAATGTTTTGGGGTTTTTTTTTTTTGGCAGAGGCAGCACTTAACTCTTAGCACTCTAGACTTTTTAGCACTCAGTTTAGCATTTCACTGCCTTTCCAGATAGAAAGCTGTATGCACACAAATGGTTAAGGTAAACTATGCAGGAATTGTCAGCTACTGTATGTAAACAGTATCAGCAGCAAAAGCGAGAGCCAATCCCAGATTCACTTTCATTTTAGAAACGAGCTTTGTTTGCTTGGAGTTTTGCCTCGCTATATTTGCATTTTTTCAGCACGGTGTTCACAGTTTTTGTAGCTTCTTCTTGGATGCGTGCCGCTTACAGTGTGGCACCTGGTCACTATGCTATATAGCAAAAGGAGAGGAAAATAAGAAAATACAGGCAGAGCAAAGGGTATCTGCAGATAAATACACCGCCACATGATTCTGGCGAGTAATAAGAAACATTGACGCTACAAACAGAGGCCTTAAAAACGCTGTTGGCCCTGTTTTAGTTTGAAAACTACAGGGTTGTGATTTAGTCTGGATGAGTGAGAATTTGGAAATTACTGCACAGACACAAGTGTTTGATTCCTGATGGGTCTTATCAGTCACAGCCTGTAAAGTCAAAACATTATAGCTAGCTCTATGTACTTCTTTTTCCATTGCAGTGGCTTTCTCCGGCAATGGATAAAGCTCCTGGTGCCACTCCGATATGTCGCCGTATTTGCTTTAAAATGGACTCCCAATCTATTTCCCACTGCCTTGACTGCCTTATACTCATCATGTTACTTTTAGTAACAGTTCCACCTCATCGTTGGTCCAAGCAAAGAAATCTTACTTTATACTGTTTCTGTAGTATTTTCTGTAATTAAGCAACCAACCACAAAGTAGACAATCTTCCCTTGAACCACCAGCACACACATGCATGTATAAGGTCATGTGACAGACCAAGAGTACAGAGATCGTTTTTGTTTCAAAACGCCATTTTAAATCAAGTGTTTGTGTGGATGTGTCCTTAGAGGGATTACTTTTGCAGGAGTATATACAATGTTTTGTTTCCTGCATAGTATACCTTTAATGCATTTATACAATGTGCATCCAAAGGGTGAACAGCTGAAATGAGAATGGCCATGGAAGTTGGTTTGTGATCTTTTAGCAACAGGTTTTATTCTTCCCCTAACAAAGAAAAAAAGAAATCAGACGTTAATATTACCATCTTTTCTTTTCGTATTTTTCCTGAAGGAACTCTTTTACTTTCTGTGGTTCTCGGAAATCTGGAACAACTAATGTCCTGTCGTCATAGAGGCCCAACCAGATGTGTTTACAGACCTACAGGGGGGGCAGAGGAATGAGGAGAGTGGGAGGTAAGGAGGGGAACGGGGTGGGGGTGGGGTGGTGGCAAAGAACGGAGAGAGGTGAGAGAGAGAGAGTAAAGGGAAGGGGGGAGGGGATGACGAGAAATGGGAGAAAAAGTGGGGGGAAAGGAATGCCAATAAAGTTGACTGTGCAAGGTTCAGAAAAATGCCAAGATGCTTCTGACTCACAGACAAAACGACTGTAAAAACAGTGTTTAACAATGTGAAATATGGTGCTGACTCCTTTGTTGTAAAGTGTGCACGATACCTCGTTGCTGTGTTTCTGTAGAAACTCAATTTCCTGATGTGTGAATGTGGTCATAGAGATGGACTTCACTCTGTGTGGGGGGTTCAGTCCTCGCCTGTGGGTGGAGGAGGTATATGTTGGCATAAGAACAAGAGAAGCAGGATGCAACCCAGTGTTGTTCACGTGACATGAGATGAGCAAACAACAACCACACATGCACTGATATATTTTCTGTGCACATGTATGAACATTTGACAGACATTTAACAGCAAACATGAGCATTTACTGCTGATTAAACATTTTTAAGACCATAGACTGACTGGTTTTTGGGTTAAATCCCAATGAATGTCTCAGTAAATATGAATTCCCGAACATCAAAATAAAAGGCACAAGTTAAAAGGGATAGTTCAGATCTTTTGAAGTGAGGCTATATGAGGTATTTATCCATGGTCAGTGTATTACACACAGCAGATGTCTGCTGGCATGTCCCCAGTTTAGAGAAGCAGGCTGGAGTCCAACACGGAAGCTAAGCAATGTACTGCTGTAGTTTTCACTGCTTTACGTTAACATCAGACAGCAATTTCTGATGGAGAAATGAAGCCTTTATATTACTCTCTTCAAAGCCAGGCTCCATTGAGAAATACAGTGATTTAACATCGCTGAACACAGGAGAAGCTGGTCTACTGCTGCCTTGATCAGTTAGTTTGTTTGTGTTATTGTGTAAGTTTGGTGTTTTAAAGGGTTAGCTCAGATTCACCAAAGTCATATAATACCACAAACTAACTGACCAAGGCAGAAGTAAACCAGCAGCTCCCGTGTTCAGCAAGCCAAAATTGCTGTTTTTGTCAATGTAGTCTGGTGGCTTTGACAAGAGCATAGATGGGGATGTTAACTCTAAGATATTTTTAGATGGGACCATTTTTAGATGGCTAAAATACATTTCGCTGCTGCCCCATCTACAGCAGAACATTGCTTAACTTCCGTATCAGCACTCGAGTCACTTCCAGAAAGGGGAGGCATGCCGACAGACATTTACCGTAGGTAATACACTGATGCTGGATAAGTACACCATACAACCCCACATCAAAAAATCCAAAGTATCCCTTTATTTCAGAGATATTTGTGACTGTTCATTTGATTAGAAATGACCAGGACCTAATTAGAAATGGCTGAGATTGTGCTCGATGTTATAGACTTACAACAGATGCCATAACAATGTTTACAGCGTCAGTAAAGCTGTAAACCCAAATACATTTCTTCATGTTTCATTGCTTCAAAACATAAAATCACAGTGAATTTTGAAATGAATCCACAGAAAACATACTTGAGTATTAAAGTTAAATGGATCACCACAAACTGGCCAAGCACAATTCCACAAACTACTTAAGCGTATAAGTATTTGCAGTTTGTGACATATTAAATTCACATTGTAACAGCAGCCAGCTGTTTTTAAACACCACATAATGAGCCACATTGAAATCACCTGTGTGTAACCAAGGTGTGACAAGTGACATAAGGGTAAATACACTTTAAAGAGGTGGAAGGTGCAACAGTTAGTTGGGCGGTTTTCTGGCAAAAGCTTAATTGTGAAGACACAGGACCTTAACAGACAAATCTGTGACAAGATTACTGAAGGACTGCTTGTTCATATTGCACAGAAGCACATGTTTTTGCCTTTAACCTTACAGTCTCAACACTGAAAAGGAAATTAATTACACAAACACTTCTGAGTATAGTTAGGTCAATCATAAAATCTTTTTTTAAATGGCTGGAAATTTGCCTGGAGCAAGCAGCAGTTCTCAACATACGAGGGTATGTGCAGGAGGGATAACAGCGAGAAGGGGCACCATGGGGCCTTAGACAACCCCAGATGAGCTGTGCGAAAACAACTGTTGCTTCACCAGCTGCAGCTTTGTGGCAGGTTGGCAAATACAAAACCGCTGTTAAAAATAAAAAAAAAATCACTTGACATCCTGGGCTAGTGTTTGCCACAGGGGATGTGGGCTCTATAGTTTAATGAGACCAAAACACATCCTACCATCACCACCACAAATCTTGTGATGGCAGCATCATGCTCTGGGGATGCTGCCGCAGGCTGTGGAGGGCTTGTGGGGGTTGAGGATAAAATGATGTCAGACACTCAAGACACATCCTGGAGGAAAACAATGCAGTCTGTAACAGGAGTGGCTGAAAACCAAGAACCAAACCAGAATTCTATGGCAGGATTTGAAAATTGCTGTTCACTGCAACTTGATGGAGGTTTACCAGTTGTGCAAAGGAGAATGAAGACAAAAGGCAGTGTTCAAATGTGCAAAGCTGATACAGACCCATCCACATCGACTCAAGGTTTTAACTGCTGCCACAGACGCCTTTACTAACTCTGATTTCAAGAGAGTGAATATGTTATGTTTAAATTTGTACTTAAATGTCAAACTTCTACCATTTCAACTAAATTAAGTGTCACTTATTATGAAAAATAAGGGTGTTTACATGTATTAGAAATTCAAATATTATGCTTATTAAGATTTTTCAAGATTATTTTAACCAAAATTGGACAAATCATCTGTTTTCATTCAAGCACTGCAGGTAAGTAGCATAGATGTGAGGAGTGAGATTAATCTACATTTTGTCAACAGGTAAGTGTAAGTCTAAAGTAAAAATACAGCATTAGTTTCAGTGGTAGGTTTAAAGATTCCTAACATTATAAATATGAACTTTCTCATGTAGACAAGCTTGACTCGTTTTGACAAGAAGAAATTAAAATATGGATAAATTAGATAAATTGTTTTGGGCAATTAAGACCTCACAAATTCAATTTTAAAGGTCCAGTGTGTAGGATTTAGGGGCATCTATCAGCAGAAATTAAATATCATTTTCATAACTTTGTCTTCATTAGTGTATTATCACTTAAAATTAAGAACTGTTGTGCTTTTGTACCCTACAACAGGGCTTTATATCTACATATGGAGCAAGTCCTCTTTCAAACCAAGCCAAACACTGGCACTAGTTAGTGATATTTGCATTTTTGCTTTGGCCACTGTAGTTCTCCTACATGCTTGGCACACTGGAGAAGTTTAGTTCTGCAAACTCATCGTTACATGCCACTAAATCTTAGACGCTGGACCTTTAAAACTATTTAATTACTTTTAAAGGTCCAGTGTATAGGATTTAGAGGGATATATTGGCAGAAACAAAATACAATAAGTATGTTTTCTTTAGTGTATAATCACCTGAGAATAAGAATAATTGTGGGTTGTTTTTTTTTTTTTTTTACCATGGCATGAGCTGTTTATGTACACAGGGAATGGGTCCCTGTTTATGGAGACTGTCGTGTTTACCGCCATATTACAGTAGCCCAGAATGCACAAACCAAACACTGGCTCTTGATTGGGCCATTCGCGTAGTTAGAAGCCTATCTGCGACAAGCAGCATTAGAACAACACTGATTTTTAACATGAAGCTGCTTTATTCTGTGTTTCTACAAGTTTAAATCACTGGGTCCGTTTGTTTTGGAGAGGAAGAGACCTCTGAATAATTCAGCTCCCGGTAAAACTCCCCTGAACGTCTAGATCTCAAGCTATCAGAGAATAAAGGTGAGCACACATGAACATGAGGTGGTCAAACCACTAGTCTTCGACATGCCAAACAGCGTGGGAGAAATACTGATTTGTAACATGAAAATGCTTTATTCACTGTTTTTACTGGTCTAAATCAACAGTCCCATTGTTTCAAAGAGCAGGAGACCTCTGTGGATAATTCAGCTCCCAGTAAAAACCTACTGAACGTCTGAATCAGTAAAAAAGATGAGCACTTTAAGTTATCAGAAATGGTGGGTGAGTCGTCAGTCTCCAACATGCCAAACAGCATGTTGAGAGAAACACTGATTTGTAATGTAAACCTTATTTATCAAGTGTTTTTTCTGGTTTCAATCACTTGGTCTGTTTATTTTGGAGAGGAGGAGACCACTGTGGGTAATTCAGCTCCCAGTAAAACCCTCTGGGACAATAAACAATGTTGAAATTCTACCAGGGAGAAGTTTCAGTTGGTTGCAATGAGCAGTCCTCATCGACATGTGCCACTAAATCCCCCTAAATCTTACACACTGGACCTTTAAGGCCTAAATATTATTATATATTTTAAGACAGTTTAAGACTTCTGAAGGACCTGCAGACACCCTAATACTGTCCATGCATTAGTCCAAGCAGTTAGTTATAGTAATTTCCCCAATTTCACTTTTCCTACCTGATGTGCTACTCTGTGCAGTATGGTTATTAGGGATGCACGATACAGTGTTTTTTGCTGATATATGACACATTATTTGGCAGATAACTGACACCGATATATCCCCCACCTAATTTTAGGGATCATCAAGTCTCTTCTGTAGTGTAATTAACATGATATTATGCATGCATACTCTTATCGTGATAGCCCATCAGCAGATGGAGATATGAGATACAATGCTTTTCAGTGTATGTGATATTCATTCATTCTGCAATACCAGTGCATCCCAAGTTATTATGGATCTGTGCACTGAGTTATACAACTGGTAAGAATAACACACTACATGATCATATCAGTGTCATTACAGGTTAAATGTTGATTAGTTATATGCATACTATTACATAACACAATACACTCACAACTAGCTCACAATAAAGGGGTAAATATTGTACTATAATGCACTGCAACACCATAGGTGACAAGGAAAACACTTAATAAACTATCAGCAAGATAAGCAGATATGTTTGCCTCCCTAAAAGGGAGTGGACAGTAATAGATATTGCATGAATCAGATTCATTGCCTAAATCCCGGTTTGGATTTCACAACACTTCTTCTTGAGGAAAAAGATGTTTCACCAGTCAGCAGCTAAGGACGACCCACTGCCCCACTTCTGCTTTCAACTACTTCCCAAGGTGAGACCCACCCTGCTCCTTCTTATCTGGAGGTGTGTGTATGTGTTTGTTTGCGACATGTCGGAGGTCCAGCTAAACTTCAACCAGAGGAGGCTCCCCTGTGACGTGTTTCTAAACAAGGTGGTCAATATTTAACTGAGGTATATATGAAGCTTTAGGCGTGCTAACCTTGACCACACAGGCAGTAATAAACCACTGAGACCCGCACACACTCAGCCGACATGTGAAGTAAAGCTGGAAGCGAACCAAACCGCCGTCACTAACCGGCCCAGCCCAACGGCCGCGGGCGGAACCGACGTTACCTGTCCTGACTTCAACGCTAGCTAACAAGCTAACGGTTCCGCCGAGTCAGTTACGGACCGGGCATGTCCATGACCGACAGCGGTGCCTTGTCTTCACCTGGTGGAGGCTGTAAACAATACAAATGGCTCTTTAGGGTCAAAAGGAAACTCACAAGATGCCGGAGCAGGTGGTGCAGACGAAGGAGCCCACTGTCATGTTGACATAGGTCGGGCCGCGCTGGTCGCAGTCGAAGCATTTCCTATTCGCGGGCAGGCTAGTCATTTCCCGGAGCATCTTCAGATGAGTCTCCTCCTGCTTTCGCTTCGCACTCGTCGCCATGGCCGAAAACAGCGGGTCGGTATCACCGTGGAGGAAGTTTGGTCAGGGGACCCGAGACAGGGCGGGTGTCTTCGGGGTAGACTCGTCGCGTGTGACTGTGGCGGCCGGGTAGACACCTTTCTCCGGTCTAGCGGGGAGACTGGGCGACTGACAAACTACTTCTTCTGCAGGGAGCAAGTGTGAGACAGAGCGGCCTCACACGCACAGGCGCCATCTGTTGGTTTGGAATGGTGCCTCGTGTTTTCATTGAAAGTAACACTCTTCATTTGGGAATATTTCACACAGAAATATTGAAAAAAGGTGCTGTGAAAACACACTTGCACAGTTTGCAGTGTTTGACCCAACCACACTTTCATAAGAACATCACACAAATAAACTTAAGCATCATTTTAATTAAAAACACCAACAGCATTTCTATATAACATACAAATGTAAAACATAAAGTGCCTGTATTTATAATATTTTTCAAAATAAACTCTTCTTAATAAACATCTCAGTGTCTCTTTCAGACATGACACCACTTTACTGCATGTTTTAAAATTCAAGTCTTTGGTCCCTGCCTTGGCACCCTTCAGACAACAGGTGCTCATTGAATATCTAGTGATGAGACATCCCCTGTCTCCAGTTTTGGCCTGGTGTAAGGCCTCCCTGACAGTGATAACACTGTTCTCTTTCATAGCCATCCACCGCCTGCTCCGCTTTTCTTGGTGGCTTTGCAGGAAACTGCTGGACACGCTGAAGAACTGCTCAGTGAACTGCATTGTTGCAGACATTGCTGTTAAGACAGGATCAGATTATTGTATTGTCAGTGGGGGGTAGTGCTCCCATGCAGAGACAAATGACTTTTAGTCAGTGTCTTGCGAGGCGCTTGTTTTGGCTTCTTCTGAATTTGGCGGTGGAATAAAAGTAGAAGGCACTTGGAAAAGCACAGTCTCCTCCAAATGTGAAACCATGATCCAACAAAAACTGGTGAAGTCTGTTGATTATTAGCGCTACAGAAGGTAAAATCAAAATACTTGGAACATCATTTAGTCACTGAAATGGAGTCTCTCAACAGAACAGGAATGAAGCATTAGAGCTTGAAACTCAAAATCCAAATCACAGATTTGTCTGTTAATGTCGTTTCATAATTGTTTGAGATATCTGGACTGCATTGAAAACAGCTTCCAACTTCAATGGTGGAGGCAGCAAGCAGGAGATGGTGGTGGCCTTATTTTGACTTTGGTCTCTTCCTGTTGCTGCTTAAAGGGTCTGCAACTTCCACGGGCTGGAGGAAGAAAGAGAGAACTGTTCAGACAAATCAACACACCACATTTGGAGCTACTGAAAATTAAAAGTGATTGTTTTCGTCAGGTCATAACTGACTGCTTGACTGGAGTAGAAATCATGATTGATCCAGACATTTCAAAGGTAGTTATAATAAATTTTTAAAGGAATAGTTCGCCCTTAAAATGTTATGTTGAACTTGTAAAGAAAACTGTTTTTCTCGCATGCCTCCTTGGTGAAAGAAGAATCCAAAAATGGAGAAACTTCATGTAAAGGAAGTAAGTTAAAGGAGGCTCAAAATAAATCAAAATATCTGTTTAAAAACTCTCACACAACTCATGCAGTATAATCCAAGTCTGATTTATCCAGTCGTATGCTCAGTATCTCCCAAACAGACAGCCTTTTCCGACGGGGAACTGAATGGGAAGTGTAACTTATCTATGCTCTCTTCAAAGCCAGACTCCATCCACAAAAACAGTAATTTAACCTCTTTATTCTTTATTCAGATCCCCATTAGCTTCCACAAGGTAGTTGCTAGTCTTCCTGGGGTCCAATCACAAAACAACATTAAATATAAATTAATTTGAAATCACACAGTATCAATGAGACGATAACATTCAACATCAGTCCAAAATTAAGACAAAAAAAGGAGTAAAAGAGCAAAATTGTCACAAACTCACTGTACCAAATAAAAAAATAAAATAACATTAACAAAAATGTTTCAGAACAGAACTGCCATAACCAAATTTTCACGTGATTCATCAATTTTAGTGTTATTTTAAGTGCCAAACACTTGATTTCCTGCATTGTGGTCAATGTTTTTGCACCAAGTTATGCATTTTCTGCACCTGATCGAGGCAGCGGTACACCAGCAGCTCCTGTGAGGTAAAATAACTGTTTTGGATAACAGATTTTTGAACTGGATAAATGAGACTTGGATTGTACTTCATGAGTTGTGTAAGACTTCTTGAACAGATATTTTGATACAGTTTTGCTGTTGTTAAACACAGACCCCTATAATTTCAATTTTTCAAGAATTTTCTCAGTTTTCTGATTCTTGATTCACCTTAGGCGAGAAAACTGACATTTTCTTTATGAATTCAACGAAACACAGGGTGAGTTATTGCTATACAAATGATCATTATTGCTTTCCTCTAATTAATCGAGCTCTGAATCATTGTAATAAGCTTTAAATATGCCATAAACTGAAATATATTTTTGTGGATGATTGTGTTATGTTCACCCGCTCCCTCTTCCTAGTAACTCTAAAGAAGTCCTCCATGCGAGTCTGCCTGCTGCGTCCTGCTGCTCTCTCCTTTTCCCTCTCCTCCCGTTTACCTTCCCGCATCTGACGGAACTTCTCCATCCGACGACGGATTCTGTCCTCCCTAAAACCATATCAGCATGTACACAGTTAAAACTGTCTCTGAAAGAGACAGAGGAGCATGTGAAATGTGAAAGCTGAAGCAAAAACTACACACTTAACGTATGTGGCGCGACAGAAGAACCCGACCAGGGCTTCCTCATCTGGCTCAGTCCAGGTGAGTTCAGGAGCTACTGTCTGCGGTGCATCCAAGAATATCGTCCGTGCTTCTTTGTACTTCCAGAAATGTGGCACAGGGTGGGTCTGAGGGGCAGCAGATACGAGGGTGTTATCAGATCTTACACTTTTTTGTAAAGCAACATACGGAGTGAAGACCAAAGACCACTGGTTGTCCATTTAGTACCTCTCTGTTGACATGCAGAACCACGTTCTCAATAGTGCGATGCTTCTGGATCAGTGTCAGAGCTCTCTTAGGACCCAAACCTGCTATCTTGTCACAGTAGTCACAGCCCAGCAAAATACACAGGTCGACAAACTGGTGGAAGGAAATGGCAAAAGAAGGAAAGTTCGAGATATTATTTGCACGAAGTGATATCACAAATACCAACTGAAATATTCAGTACTTTCAAAGACAATGTTAGAGTTTCAGTCTCACCTCCTTGTGACTAATTTGGAGTCTCTCTAGCAGCTTGGGTAAAGAATATTCAATGACTTCACTGTGAAGAAAAAGAGATTATATCAGTTCACAAACCTTCCAGTCCCTCCTTTATTTAAAGTGATCATTTGGATTGTTGTAAATAAAGTAACATGAGGAAATCACTGGTAGTGGTATCAGTGCAACATGACTTGAGGCTACAAATCCCGTAACTGGAGATCTGTCAGCCAGCCAGTTGCTTGTCAGACAGGAATTAGACAGCCACAGAAACATTTTAAGCAACAGCACAACATGAAAAAAAGATGCAACTATCAACAACAGAAGAAAACATGTTTGGTGTATTTCCAGGTTTTGACCTCACTCCAGGTGAAGCTCATTTGCAAAGTGATTTCCCTGGTAACATATAATGGCCTGCATGCAGCTAATTTCTGTCCAACAGGTCACTGCTGTTGTGACCTGCTAGATATAATAAGAAGCTTATAGTTAGTCTTCTTTTGAGAGTTTACTGTGGCTTAAATTATCTCTGTCAGCTCGGCCCAGTTTGCTGCTGCTCATTTTTATCTGGAGAGTCACCAGCTGACAGGATGATGTTTGACCACAGATTTCACAGCCTCGGGTGGTGCCAATGCATCAGTATTATCACAGATGAGCAATTTAAAGGACAGTTCACCCCTATTTCTCTCTACTAACTAAACCCACCAGCTGTATCACTGCTCAGAGGAGAGGCTAGTGACAGCGTGAGATGTAACATTAATGGTGTCCTTCTCTGCCAAGCTGTAACGTTAGCTAGCTCAGTGGTGCTAGGTGAGCTAGCAGCAGATGCATGCTTCCTTCTGCGCAGTGAGACACTTGGCAGGTGTAGTTCAGTAGAAAGAAAATAGTTCCCACGTGAAACTGCTCACAACAAGGTCTGTGGATTATCTTGAGTAACCAGGTCTTGATTCTTGGAAAGAGACATTGCTGTTGAGTTTATCAAATGTATTTTTGGCGCTTTGAGCACCACAAGCTGAGTGCCATGTAGTTCCATTATATTGGAGAGAAGGCAGACATCTCTACGGCTGATATCTACAACCTCTTCTTAAGAGTATTTAAATGCACCAGCCCCAGAAAACTATAGAAGAAGAGAGTAAAACATAACATAAGAAAACTCCAGCACAATCCTTACAGCAACACATAAATTGCAATATTCTTACCTGTCCTTCTTGGCGTTCAGCTGGCGAATGAGAATACTGGCTCCAAACGGCAGTGTGTCCATGTCCTCTGATGACACGGCGTCCACAGTTCCGTCTCTCACCAGGTGGGCGCACATGGCCTCAGCATCCCCTGGAGCCTGGAGCATAAGACAGAGAGAAAGAAAGGGGGATCAAAATGAAAATGCAGGAAGTGAATGTTCGATATGAACAAAAAACAAACAAACTTGGACCTGGATGACAGGTACACCCAGAAGCTTCAGGAGCTGGAGACAATCTTTGGTCTGGGATGATGCTGCAAGGAGCACAAAAGAGTTCACTTCAGAAGACTTGACGTTCAAATATTTCTCCTGAATGTATAACTTCAAAACCTGTGCCTGTTATCAATCTGTGTAGATGTACCTATGCCTGTGCGGTTGTGAGACTTCCAACCAGCTGCCTCAGCTCGCTTCTCAAGCTGCAGGTAAAACAGGAGCTTCAGTTAGCATGTGTGGGAGTCATCTGCATCACACTACAAGTGTTAGATGTCTTTATCGTATTCCACTGGCTCATTGAATTCCCTTTCACATCCTTGTTTAAGATATTTCCTTCAGTCAACACATGTAAGGAGAGCAGTTCTACCATCATTAAGAACACATGGGGGAAGCAGTCAGATAAGTCTCCCTGACCTGTGACTGTCGCACACACACCAGGAGGGTATGTTCGGTGTCAAGTTGAGTCAA